ATGGGTTTTCCCTCCCCCACTTTTTTTCTATCCATCCTCTCCCTTTCCCATTTTTGTCTATGTAATAAAAAATAAAAATAATTTATAAGAAAAAAAGAAAGGGTGTATGGGGGGTCGAAGGGGTATATTGGGTTTGTATTTTGGGGGGTATTGTTGACAAGAGGGATGGCTCTGTTTATTGTTCAATGTTATATGGCCCTGGTTATGCACAGTATATATGTGACTGTACGAAATGAAATGGAAAATAAAACATATTTACAGAGAACAAGATTTAATTTTGGAAAATAAAAGCTCAGTAAACTAAGCTGAGTTTGATTTTTTTTTCCCTTTGGGAAGATTGAAGTTAAGAAATGATCCAAAGATATCCCCCCACCCATTTTGCTCCCACCAACATCTGATGAGACAGAACCTCACATGAACCCAAAAGAAATTCAGCCTAATTCCAACCAGATAAGATGAAATAAGGAACCTGAGTTTTAGTCTTTAAAATCCCCTATCAATAGCCTTCAAAAATCCATTTGCATATAGAGGAGATCCACATCTTGTTTTAATCTTGTTCCAACCCCCAATTATTGATACCACAGTTTAAAAATCCTTTTAAGATTTTAGGCAATAAACATCAGCTGTGGTCAAGATGAATGGAAATGATTGATCATTTATTTATCTTACGAAGATTTATGTTCTGGAGTAATGAGAAATGAACGTCTGCATGAACCCACCTACCCATATATTTTGGGAGGCCATCAAAAAACAATCCTTTGGCTTTTTAAAAAAAAATCTTTATAATAGTAACAATTTGGGGAAATGTGAGGGAGAAGAGAAGAACATTGAATGCCAGACTTGGTTCCCATCTAAACGCAAAAAGTGTTTGGTAGAGATAAAGCTGTCTGTCAATGTAAAAAGCAAGATGTTCACTTGTCCTCAAAAGATTTTAAGGAAAGATACTGAATCTCTGTGATTCAATTTCATTCTTATTTCTAGTTTAAAGTGTCTAGCAAAAAAAAAATCACATTGGGAAAAATATATTTGAGCTTAAAAGCCTAGGAAACTGTTATAGCAGTGTAGAATTTTAGAACTATAAAGGACACTTTTTCAAGTGCCATGTGAAAAATCCCTCTTCTTGGTTTTAAATTTCACCTAATAAAATTATGCACTAGATATATTGTGCACTAGGGTAACTGCTTCTTAAAAATAGAACAAACAAACAAACAAAGTACATGAATAGGAAATCAGTGTCTTGTTACTATGATTCTTCATTTCAGTAAGATTTAATTCCTTCTTCCCAATTGGGAAAGAAATATTTGGCAAAATCAGTGTTTGTGAAAAAATAAGCAGGCTAAGCTATAGTTATATATTACTTTCCTCAATTTTAAGAATTATAACAAAAGACTTGAGCAAAGTTCATAGGTTGGGTAAATTATAGAGCTTATCTCTTGTCTTAGTTCATAACTCTAGTAACATAGTTGAAAATTCTTTGGTCTGTGAATTTAAGTGTTTTGCAGTGAATATTTATGTTTATTTTAATTTTGATTTATTTAAAATAATCATTTTCAAAACGTGGGAAATTGAATATAAATCAAAGACAAATTATTTCTTGAAAATGGCTTACAGGATTTATACAAGTTGTCCTTCACAGTAAATCAGTGTGTTTTATATTGCTCTTTCCAGATTTTCCACATGCTGCCTGATGCTTGTTTCCCTGAGCCTACCCTTGTGCCAATCTCCCCTCCAAACGCCCCACCACGACAATCAAGACGACAGGGGCAACGTAATAAGAGGCCTGTTGCTGTATATAATCTCTGTCTAGAGCTGGATGACAGTAAGCCGTTCATTAAATTTTCTGTCTTGGCAAGGTGGAATTGCAATATATCTTCTGCAATAGCTTTCATTTTGTTATTTTTGTTTCTGAAAATTAGAAAATGGAGGCAGGGTTCTGATAGAATGCATTTTATAATATCTTGGGTATATAACTTTAGGACAACGTGTATGTTTTTACTAAAATTTTCAACTGATTTAACATATTTGACCTCTGACAATAATTATAAGTTGTATGATAAATGGAATAAAATAAGAATCCAAAGCAAAGCTTTTTAGTGAGTTTGAAGAGACAACTCTAGCAGTAATAGCATTATATAATTACATATACAGTAAGTTGCCAAATGAGAAAAAGGTTAGAATTCATTGTGCAAATAAGATGTAATCGTTTTTCAGAATGCAAAGATTACATTTGTAGTTTTTCCATTAAAATACTTTTGCAGTGATACAATATGTAGAGATATAAAATGATGGTGAAGTGTACAAACTGACTGACTCATTTTCCTCATAAGAAGTATATCAGCAGTACTCCAAACTATTATGGTTGGTTGCACAGTCAGCCAGATGTTTAGATTGGATTTGTCATTTTTGACCTGTTAAGTCTTTTCCAAGAATCTGGGAAAGACTTAATTTATTTAATAATATTAAAGATATTGTCACACTTGTTGCAGGATGTAAGCTGTCATAGGATGTAAGCTGTTCCAAGTAAAGTTTCCTTTTGTAATTGACTGATGGTGATTTTGTCACTGCTGATGGTATTCAAGTAGTTTTCTGATTGTTTTGAGATTGCACCCAAGGCACTTATTACTATTAGTGCTAACTTTCTTTTGCTATCTGTATGCTACTTCTATTTGCAAGCTTTTGTGATTTTTTCCCCACGTCTTTTTTTTTTCTATTCTGCTGTCTCAAGGAATTGAAGTGTTAAATTTTTTTAGTCTTTTTTATTGACAATTGTTAAGTCTTGGATATTGTGTGGCAGAAGATGTTTGTCTGTTTGAAAAGTTCCAGAGCATTTTAGCTTCTTCAGTTTCTATTACTTTATCTATTTGTGTGACCGCCGGTTCTTGCTTCTTGCTATTTCTTGCATATAATTCCAATGTACCAATGTACAGCAAAATCAGACATAAAAATAAATTTATATACATTTCCCTCTTAAAAAGTGGGCAATGGCTATGGTCTCCAACCTTTCATCTTGGTGGCCATGTGACTGGCAAGTGCATGCACAGAGCTCCATTGTATGAGTGGCAGGCATGTGCACTCTCCACTCACTAATGGAGCTTGATTCATGAGTGGAGGGCACTTGTGCTCAAAGCTCTACTCGCACTCGCATACAAAGCTCCATTCGTGTGAGCGGAGAATACTCGACAGCGCTTCTGCTCTTGTGTAAAGCTCCATTCGTGCAAGTGGAGCTTTGTATGCAAGCACAAACGCTCTTCGCACAAATGTTTCCACTCACGCTCGCTCCACTCAAGCAAGTGGAGTTTTGCATGTACTTGCGCATTGCTCGTGCAGCCTGGTTTGAAACAGACCATGATCTGGTAATAAGCTGGGGGATGGGACACCTTTATGGTTTTATTATTATAATTGGTCGCACAAAATCAGCAAGATGTTTACACTGGCTTTGGAATTTTTATCCACTGATTGAGTCCTTCTAAGGACCTGACATAAGCAGATGTTATTGTTTGATGGTGTTAGATGTACCATTATTAAATGGGTAATATAAAGTTAGATTCACATTCAAACACTGGTGAAAACTCTCCATTTACTTATTCATTTATTTATTGTAAAATAATGTTCAGGTTTGTTAAATATTAAGTCCTATAGAATAGAATACAAATAAGAATAGAATAGAATAGACTAGACTAGACTAGAATAGAATAGAATAGAAACAGAAACTTTACTGGCCGGGTTTGATTAGACACACAATGAATTTGTATTCGATGCATAAGCTCTCAGTATACATAAAAGTTATGTTGGAAATCATGATCATTGTCATAAAATACATTCATCGTAAATAATAAGATGCAACATTTAGTGATAGTCATAGGATACTAAATAACATAAATTATACTAGGAAACTAAATAGAACAATATAAATCGTAAAGATACAAGCAACAAAGTTATAGTCATAAGTAGAAAAGAAAATAGATAATAGGAAAGATGAGAATAATAGTAATACAGCCAGGGGTGGGTTCCTACATGAACCGGTATTGGTTCGCTCGCTCACGCGCTTTGCTTTGTACCATCCCCTAGCAAAATCAATGAATCAGAGTTTCTTCTTTTCAATGACTGTGAACAAAATACCTATTTGTTTCAGTTTTAAAATCCTATAAGATTTTAATCCAGTCTTTTTCCAAAACCCCTCATCTTAAGGGTCCCAGTCAGTGGTAGGATACGACCAGTACCCCCAGTACTGGTGTACCGGTGCCTACTGGGAGCACCAGGTACCGTTCCGGTACAGTACTCCATAGGGTCCACCCATCCGCCCTTCTTACTTGTATTTGAGCCGATTGCGGCGTGCATATGGTGGACGCCAGGTCCCGTTGCAGCGTACAGGTTGCAATGGGATCTAGAACCCACCATTGGTCCCAGTGGTTCTTGCTAGGTTTAAGTCCAAAACTCTGGCAGATTTCCAGTGAATAATTTTGGCACCTTGGTTGTAACACTGATTATAGTCCGTGTGAAATTTTGCTGCAGCCATTGATCAAGTGGTCAGCTATTTCAAGCTTCTTACTACAAAGATGACATGTGTAAACTGCCCAGAGTCACTTAGGTGAGATGGGCGGTGTAGAAATTTGATAAATAAGCAAATTAGTTTATTGTTTTGTTTTATGAAAAAATTTTGCATTCATCAAAATAGTTGGCAAAGTAAGCTAATAAAATAAAATCTTCAGTTCCTTTCTTTAACACTCCTGACCTTAACCAGCTCCATGTGTGGTTTTTATTGGCTTTTCCACATTTATATACACCTCCGGCATTTCTTCACAGTTGGACATTTAGTTTATTAGAATTCTTTTTAGACTTTTGGTATTTATTTATTTCTTACATTAATTAAGTAAATCTCTTCATAAAGAAAAATGTGCTCAATACCCAGAAATATTACAGGCAGCTTAATTTTAGTGATATGCAAATAGATGACATGTAGCAATCAACTTTTACTTACTGAGATGTATTTATTGATGAACAAATGGTACAAATTCTAAGCATATAACAAATATTATAAACTGTTAGCTTTTATATATAAATACAAACGATGCCTTTTGTCTTCCATATTTTTCATTTTGTATTTAAACAGCAGATCCAAACTTGTCCTCCAGAAAATCTGTGTGTGTGTGTGTGTGTGTGTGTGTGTGTGTGTGTGTGTGTGTGTGTATGCATGTATTATACATACATATGGAGTAGGAAAAATACTAGGTATGTGGTGATGTGTTTCTTAAATATTGTACTGTAATAAATGTTCAAAAGAAATAGATTTTAAAAATAGGTTCTGCACTTAGCTTGTTAGAACCACCATAAGCTTCCAACAGGACATCTGTAGTTCTGTTGGAGCAAAAATAAAAAGCATGGTGGCATCTTAAATACTATGTTATTTGTCATGGCATGAAAGCTCATTCCACAATAAATCTGTTGATCTTTAATTCTCCATAATATTGTTTATTCATTTTTTTAATTAAGATATCACATTTCATGGCAGCTTCACTTGCTTGCCATAAGTTTTGAAGTTAGATGCCAATAGTTTGAGGATGCCAATAAAAACCCAAACATACTTTGGAAAGAATAAGTGGCCTATCACTGTTCAGATTTTTAGACATCTTAAAACAAGATCAGGCTAGAGATTTTAAACTGTCATTAATAGAATTGTTAACAGCAATATATAATTGTTAATAGCAATATTGAAATCCCCACTGAGTTTCTTTAGTAATTTCAGATGGCATGTTAAATTCTTTATGCAGCCACAGAGACCAGATTTCCTTTTATAGCCTTTAGGTGAACGTCCTGTCTAGCAGAGTTGGCTCCTGTATAGCAGTGAATTGTAACACTGGACAAAATAGTACAATTTGGGATAGGTTTATATGTTTACTCAAGATGAAGTAAATGGCTCTAATTTGTCTTGTTCCAATTTAGTTTGTAAATGGCAGTGCAGAACCCTAACAAAAAAAGGATTAAAAAATAAACTTCATTTCCTTGCATAAAGCCTCAGAGTTAGGAAGAGAGTATATAAAGCAAGAGGTCCTCAAACCTCCATAGTTGCTTACTTCAGAGAGATCAAGAGTAGTTGAGGTGCATGAGAAATGAATACAGTTAGATTATAGAATAAAATACAAAAATATGAAAGGACACAGTACGGAGGACAAGGGGAAAGAAAGGTGAGGGGGGAGGGAGAAAAGAAGAAAAAGTGTTGCTTCTGACTCTCTATTGCAGTAGAATAATGCAAATATTTCAATTTACATACTTGTATTAACATCCAGATGGGATTATTCAAAAATAAAATTTACATCATGGCATCATGTCCATGTATTTTGATTCAATCACATTTTGTACAAATACTCCTGATATAGATAATTGCCTATTCACGTAGGATTTCTCTTCTCAAAATAAGAGAAAAAGAGACCATTACCAGCATTCAGGGATATTGGGGAGAGTTCTATTTTTCCTATTACTTAATATATATTTTTTATCTTCTGGGTGCTCCAGTAGATAAAATTTTGACTTGTCACTTTAATCTCAAGCTAGTGTGGAATTCATCTTATCCTGCTTTTATCTTGTTTCTTTTTATATGATAACCATTAGATCTATCATATCTTTGACATTTTAATTATGTGGTCTAAAATAATACCCTAGTGCAGTATCTGATTCTGCTGTGAACTGTTTTCCACAGCTTGATAAGATTGTGAGGTTTTGATCCTTTATTTTTAGCTACCTCAATGAGAAGTTCACGTAGGAGGATGCTGCACATCTGTATGCTAGCTATTCCTTTAGCATGCTTTTCTTAAGGTGCTAATATGGATTTTCCTTGCAGTAGAACAGACGTGCACTGGAAGTAAAGCTGAGATTTAGGAAGAAAGGAAAATAGAAGTTTAACATCTAAGCAAAACTAGAAACTACAAAGAACCAAACAGATTAGATTCCTTTTGGGGAGAGTGTGGCTTAATATTTCAGCTTTCAACCATATTCTTCTATTATCTTGTGTAGAGGGTGGAATCTACTTTGGGCAAGTATGGGAAAAACTGCAACACTGCAGTTGTAGGAAGTGACACATAGAGTCTAGTAAATAATAGTCAAAATATTAATTCTTTAAATATAAGACTTTTTAGAATGAGCTTAAAACATTATTTCACTATTTAATGTGTAAGTTAATACTGCATCTTCTCACAAAATTCTACATTATGGAACATAACATAGGCCCAGTGCCTGTGGGGACCCAGCGAGGCAGGATGGGGTAGGAATAGGCAGAGGGCATGCTGCAATAGACATAACTTCAGGACTGGGTCATATCTATCTTTTGGGGATCATTTGCACTATCACTCAAAAATCTGTAGTAACTTGAAAACTACCTGTACTAGGGTTGGTTCATTTTATATCTTGAAATCTATTTTTCCCCCCTCTCGCACAATTTTCTAATCTTTTGTTGTCTGTTATTAATATATTCTATAAAAAAAGAATTAAGTGAAAATATATATTATATAGGTAAGGAGATCCTGCGGATTTTACTCCTCTAGTCATTGCTGACTATAGGGTGTGTGTGTGCTCATCTCTGTTTCAAGGCCATTGAGCCAGTACTGTCTGAAGTCATTCCATGGTCATGTGGCCAGCATGATGTCATGGAGCACTGTTATCTTCCCATTGAAGTGGTACATATTTATCTACTTGCATTTGTATGCTTTCAAACTTCTAGGTTGACAGGAGCTGGACCGAAGACAGGAGATCACCCATCAAATGGTGTTTGGGTCTGAAACCTGGGCTGCTGGCTTTCCAGCTGGCAAGTCCACAATCTTAACTACTGAGGCACTGCACCGCCCTGTATTAATGGCTATATTACCATTTATTTTATTCAGGAATTTTTTTATGCTTATATGCTGCTCTAAGCTTTATTATCTAATGGTAGAGAGTAAAAGTGTATACATTTTTGAATTTTGTATGCACAAATGCTCATTTAAATGAGATATTTGCTAAAATATGTAAAGTAGATAATAGTTCTTTAACACTTCCTTGAAAAGGATTTTTGCTTTAATGAAGGAGCTGGCCATCTGGTGTCCTCCTGCAAAAAGAAAAAAGAAAAAAAAGAATGCCCTGATTTATTTTTTATATTATAATGCACTGTTTTTTGCAATGTAACTTTTTAATAATAATAATAATAATAATAATAATAATAATAATAATAATAATAATAATAATAATAATAATAATAATAAAAAGGGGCAAAATCACTGCATCTGAGGGAATTGAAATGCCCAATGGCCAACTAATTAAATGCAAAGAAAA